TAGGGGAGGGAGTCCTGGGAGATCCCGGGTCCTGGTGGGGGTCTGGGATCTGGAGGGTTATGGACAGGTGTGGGATCCGGTGGTCTCTCCTAGTGTGTGTGTGTGTGTGTGTGTGTGTGTGTGTGTGTGTGTGTGTGTGAAAGAGATTCTAATCTGCATTCAGGTGGCTGTTGGCATTGAGGGCAATATGAGTGGGGGTCTTGGGTTCTGGCAGGTATTGAGGTCCTTGTGGGGTAGCCGGGTTTAGGTGTCCATCGTGGTGGTGGGGTTCTGGGTAGGGGGTCTGTGGGGGAGTCTCAGTGAAACTCCAGTGATCCCAACATGGGTCTGGGGTGGGGCTCAGAGGGGTCCAGGCAGGACTGTGACCAGAAGCAGCATAGGGACTCCCCAGCCACGATGTGTGGGGATGTGTGATTCCAGTGGGGTCTGCTGGGGGTCCCTGCGGGAGTCTGGGTGGGGACCTGCGGGGGTCCTCATAGGACTTTTGTGCTCTGGTAGGGGTCTGGGTGAGGGTCCCTGATTTGAGTGGGGGCCTGGATGGGGGAGTGCGAGGTCTGGGCAGGGATTCATTCATGTGGATGTCCATGTAGGGTTTTGCACTGTGGACGAGTGTTGGGTGGGGGCAGGGTCCCGGGGTCTGGAAGGGGTCCCTGGGCAGGACTTACAGGTTCTGGGAGAGGTCTCTGGTCTGGGCATGGGCCCCGGGCTGGGGTAGGGTGGGTGGTGCTGTCTGGGTGGGGTCTCTAATCCTACCTCTGGGCAGGGTCCCTAGGTGGGTGACCCGGGTCCAGGCGGGATCTGGAAGGAAGTCCCGGGCAGGGGTCCTAGTCCCGGATCTGGGGTTCAGGCGGGGGCCCTGTGCAAGGCTCCACCGGGGGTTCCTGGGCCAGGGTCTGGTGTGTGGGGACCCTGGTCCGGGAGAGGCCCATGGGCACGGTCCCCTCGTGGGGTTCTGGCATCTGGGTGGGGTTCGGGTCGGGGGTCTTGGGCCTGCTAGGCAGTCACTGGGTAGGGGTTGGGGGTCCGGATGGGGATCTCTGGTCTAGCATCCGGGCTGGGTCCCTAGCAAGTGACAGACGCAGGGCCCCTGGGCAGAGTCGGGCAAGGCCAGGAAGGGGTCCCCGGCTGGGGTCCGGGATCTGGTCGGGGTCGCAGGATCAAGGGAGGGGTCGGGGTAGCGGTGGAGTTTCCAGGGAAGGGGTCCAGGGTCCCGGCAGCCAGCGTCAGTCAGGGTGTTTGGGGAGGGGGTCCGGAGGCGGAGTCGGGGAGGCATCAAGCGGGATCCAGAGTGTGGGCCGGGTGAGGGAGGAGTCTCGGAAGGGGGGCAAGAGTCTGGGGAGGGGTCCAGGATTGGGGCGGAGTCCGGGCAGGGGTCCAGGGTCCGGATCTGGTTCCGGGCAGGGGTCCATGGTCAGGCAGGACTCTCGGGCCGGGGTCCAGGGTTGGGTTGGGGTCAGGGAGGGGTTCCCAGGCGGGGGTCCGGGGTGTGCGCAGGTCCCCAGGCGGGGTCCCGGGGTCATGGCAGGGTCCCCGGGGCGGG